GCCACTCCGACCTGAGCTGGCAGACCATAAGTTGAGTTATGGGGGCTGCGTGAGTGTACGTTGCAAGCCGTGGATGACACCAGGAGGAGCCGACTTTAAGTTCATCTGTAGTTTAAGTAACTCTGTATTCATTCAAGCGTAGCATAAGTCTAGATTAACGTTCGAGGTAGGCACACCAGGTGCCTATAAGCAGTACAGTCAACGTAATTAGTTTCTTTTCTCTTTGAGAGTTACAGTCCTTTCAATGTTATTTGTTCTAAGACATCTTTCGTGTTGTTGTTGTTCTAGTAAACTATTAAAACTTAGCCGCATTGTCCTTCCTTCCTGCAACCGCCTTGAGGGGTTCCCTGACACAGACCGTACCCTGTCTCTTATACACATCTAGATGTGTATAAGAGACAGGGAATGACGGATGTGAAATGATGAATGTGCAATATGAAATTATAATTGTGAAATGTCTGTCTCTTATACACATCTAGATGTGTATAAGAGACAGGCAGTATACCAACTCTATACGACCGTCGCAGGAGTATACCAGCTCTATACGACCGTCACAGCAGTATACCAGCTCTATACGACCGTCACAGCAGTATACCAGCTCTATACGACCGTCGCAGCAGTATACCAGCTCTATACGACCGTCACAGCAGTATACCAGCTCTATACGACCGTCACAGCAGTATACCAACTCTATACGACCGTCGCAGGAGTATACCAGCTCTATACGACCGTCACAGCAGTTTACCAGCTCTATACGACCGTCGCAGCAGTATACCAGCTCTATACGACCGTCGCAGCAGTATACCAGCTCTATACGACCATTGCAGCAGTATACCAGCTCTATACGGCCATCACAGCAGTATACCAGCTCCATACGGCCATCACAGCAGTATACCAGCTCTATACGGCCGTCGCACGAGTATACCAGCTCTATACGGCCGTCGCAGGAGTATACCAGCTCCATACGACCATCGCAGCAGTATACCAGCTCTATACGACCGTCGCAGCAGTATACAGCTCCATACGGCCGTTCCAGGAGTATACCAGCTCTATACGACCATCACAGGAGTATACCAGCTCTATAAGGCCGTCGCAGCAGTATACAGCTCCATACGACCGTCGCAGGAGTATACCAACTCTATACGACCGTCGCAGGAGTATACCAGCTCTATACGACCGTTGCAGCAGTATACCAGCTCTATACGACCATCACAGCAGTATACCAGCTCTATAAGATCGTCGCAAGAAAGTTTGCCAGCACTACACGGACATTGTGGCGAGAGGCATGTCGGTCGCAAGGAGGTAGAGTGGGCGAGGGGTGGTCTTAATGTTCCATAATGAGACGTTACGCTGCGGTGTCACCAGCTAGGCTCTCGAGATCGGCGTCTGGCGAGCCAGCCTGCGACGCGGGCAAGCCAACTGCCTTTGCTTCACCTCCAGCTAGACGCAAACCTTGGGCTCTGGTAATGTCAAGGGTACAAATACCTTACCAATATTATGGGTTGGATTTTGATTAATAATTATTGTTATGTGTTAAAATTTAATTCATAATTTTTACCTTACCAATATTATGGATTGGATTTTGATTAATTATTGTTGTGTTAAAATTTAATTCATAATTTTTCCCTTACCCATATTATGGGTTGAAATTTTGTGCATTGTTGTTGTGTGTTAAAATTTAATTCATAATTTTTACCTTACCAATATTATGGGTTGGATTTTTATGCATTGTTGTTGTGTGTTAAAATTTAATTCATAATTTTTACCTTACGAGTATTATGGGTTGAAATTTAATTTATTATTGTTTTGTGTTAAAATTTGATTAATATTTGTTAGGTGTCGGAACTTATGGCAATAATTTGAGGTTTTTGATAAGTTATCGTTTAAGCTCGTTCTAATTACATGCCTTGCCAGCTTCATCATCGAAAGTTGCAAAATGTGGTCATTTTCTCACAAAAATTTTGAACTAAATTAGGATTTTTCCAATCTGATCTGTACCCAGAGTTCGAATAAATGTTTTGGTGGTTGTATGAATAGGATAATATCAAGTTCAGCTATTTTATTACGACTCGTTTAAGTTTTTTTGGATCCCCAACTGGATTTTAAAAACAGCACGGCTTAGAAACCAGAGCGAGGGGAGGATTAAGCCAGGTTCAAAAAATTCTAAAATTGATTTGAAAATATTGGAAGGAAACGCTTTTCGTGAGTTCACTTGCGATTCGCACTTAAAAACTTTACAGCTATTTTTAAGGAAAGAAAGGCAAGGAAATTAACGGTTTTTCGTAACGCTATTAGTTCCATTTGAAGGTGAAAAAATAATGAAGCCCTATAAAAAAGTCGTTTGAAAAATATTTCAATTACAAGCTGGTAAATTAATAATTTCAAACTGTGTTTCATGTCATCCAAACACTGCTGTACGCTGCTGTAATTTTGGACATTGATATAACTCGGGCTCAATCAAGAAATAAACTTATTTTTGAACCGTGGTTGGCTTTTTTAAAAACTGTTACAAATTCAATTTCAATTTCATCAAAATACAATATATTGAAGCCAACATGTAAATGGCAAGAAAGGAGTCATGAAAACAACCTGAAGAAAATATTCAGCCACGAATATAGCGCGTCCAGGCTGTGAAGTGAGTAAGGATCGATGAATATCAAGGCGGAGCAAGGTTGGGTAATGCAGTCAGAAAACGGGAGATATTCAGTCAGAAATAAAGCACCAGTGCAGTCAGAAAACTTATAATCTTCAATAATAAACATGGCAACGGGGGCAGTCAAGAAGCTTAGGATATAAAGACTGAAATAGAACAGCGGTGCAGGATATTCAGTCAAAAATAGAGCAGCGGTGCAGGATATTCAGTCAAAAATAGAGCAGCGGTGCAGGATAGTCAGTTAAAAATAGAGCAGCGGTGCAGACAGGAAGCTAAGGATATACAGACTGAAGTAGAGCAGCGGTGCAGGATATTTGGTCACAAATAGAGCAGCGGTGCAGCAAGGAACCTAAGGATATACAGACAGAAATAGAGCAGCGGTGCAGGATATTCAGTCAAAAATAGAGCAGCGGTGCAGGATAGTCAGTTAAAAATAGAGCAGCGGTGCAGACAGGAAGCTAAGGATATACAGACTGAAGTAGAGCAGCGGTGCAGGATATTTGGTCACAAATAGAGCAGCGGTGCAGCAAGGAACCTAAGGATATACCGACAGAAATAGAGCAGCGGTGCAGGATATTCAGCCGAAAATAGAGCAGCGGTACAGGCAGGAAGCTAGGGATATACTGACTGAAATAAAGCAGCGGTGCAGGATATTTGGTCACAAATAGAGCAGCGGTGCAGTCAGGAAGCTTAGGATATACAGACTGAAGTAGAGCAGCGGTGCACAAGCTGGAATGCAAGGAACGTCCCAATAATTGTCGTTGTTTAGGTTCAGGCAACGCGGCGTCTGTTCGTTTCTGCCTCAGGCCGCCAAAGCGCTCATCTTGCGTTACATCTCAACAAAAAACATTCCTTCAAATGCTTTGGAATGTTTTTGAGTATTTTTCTTAGATTTTAGCTTCAATTCTACACATTTGCTGCAATTTTTTCGATATTTTTTAACAACAAACTACTATACTCAAAATGCAACCACAGCCCCTCCATCCCAACCAACCCAACCAAGACACCAGCAACCACGACCCATCCAGCCCCTCCAGTCCCTCCAGTCCCTCCAGCCCCTCCAGTCCCTCCAGCCCCTCCAGCCCAACCAAGACCACCAGCCCCTCCAGTCCCTCCAGCCCCTCCAGCCCAACCAAGACCACCAGCCCCTCCAGTCCCTCCAGCCCCTCCAGCCCCTCCAGCCCCTCCAGCCCCACCAGCAACCACAACCCATCCAGCCCCTCCAGCCCAACCAAGACCACTAGCCCTACCAGCAAGCACAACCCATTCAGCCCCACCAGCAACCGAACCCACCCAGCCCCTGCACCCACCCCACCCCCCAGCCCCCGGTATGAGGGGTGGGGTGGGGTCAGTATCTGCAAGTCAGCCCGGGTCTCCGCGGCCAAAAATGTCCGCCGCCCGCAATTGCCGGCGATGATTTTTTTCGCCCCGACGAAGAGATTGCGTGCGGGGAATTGCCTCCGACGTAAAAATGGCAATCCATTAGACGGGCGACGTTCTTACGTCGTGAACGTCGCGTGTACGTCGGAGGTGGTGGTGGTGGTTAATGGTGGTGGTGGGTGGTGATGGTGGTGGTGGTGGTGGTGGTGGTGGTGGTGAAGGTGTTGGTGTTGGTGTTCACATTTTATTTAAACTAAATAATTGTGTTGAATTGCGAACATTCAAGTCTTTTTAAAATGTATTATGAATACAATACGAACAAGTGATTGAAAATGAACCGGCGTAGTTGTAACACGAACTGAATTTTGACTCTTTAATTGTTTGCTATCAAAAGGCTGTACAGATGTAAAGTTTTACGATGAAAATTGTCTGTTTCAATAATATTGACAATTCAAAATCCCTTTGATGAAACTTAAATTTACTTTAGCTTACGTATAATGTGAAGACATAAATACATCAAATAGTGCAGAAAATCGAAATTTCATCGCCTGCAGAAAAATAATGCTGAAAAAATCGTAAAGCTTGCGACTGTAAAAAATTATTTTAAAAAATCGTAAAGCTAGCGACTGTAAAAAAACATCCAAATAAAACGTGAAGCTAGCGACTGGAAAAGATAGTAAAAAGAAAATCGTAAAGATATATAGACACTTGGTCAAATAGCAAAAAAATTTGATCGTAAGGCTATCGACTGTAAAAAATAGTAAAAAATTTGTAAAGATAGCGACGATAAAAAATAGTAAAAAAATTGTAAAGCTGGCGACTTTAAAAAAAAGCAAAAAACATATCGTAATGCTTGCGACTGTAAAAAATACTAAAAAAGATCATGTTGCTAGTGACTATACAAAATTGTGATAATAATTAATAGTAATGCTAGCGACTCTATTATTAAATCCCCACATAATTATAACTGAGACGAAATGAAAACAAGAAGAATCCCTAACGAAAACCGGATTTTTTGTAAAAGACAGGAAGGCTTCGAAATTTTTTTCAGTGCAAACAAAAATTTTACCCGTTCATGTTCAAAAAATTATCTAAAGCAAAGTTCCAAATTAATCTTTGATAAAGTGTATAGATAGAAAACATTTAAAATAACAGTGAAAAAAATGATCTAAAGCAGCAAAGTACAAAATTAATCTTTGATAAAGTGTATAGATAGAAAACATCTAAAATAACAGTGAAAAAAATGATCTAAAGCAAAATTAAAAATTAATATTTAATAAAGTGTATAGATAGAAAACATTTAAAATAACAGCGATATAGAAATGAAGGTTGTGAAGAGCGAAGGACGCGCTGCCCAATTAGCCGAATTGTTGGTTCCAATTTAATTTTGTATTGCGTTTTTCTGAAGCAATTACGACGTGTGACTCTTCATATTTCACTAACGAAGGCTGATAAGGCCGCGGATAAGGGACAGATAAGGGACAGATAAGTCATTGCATTTCAAGACTTCACACGTTATCTCTTGACGATGGTAAAAAAATATAAATAAAAAACGAAGCTCACACATTTTTTTTCTTTATTTTTTTTTTGCCTGGAAAGAAGTGAAATTATTGAAAAAATTATTACCTAATCTTTTGAGTTTTCAGTGTCGTATTTTCTATCGTAATTAAAGCATTAATAATATATTTTATTGTAGAAAATTTGTGTCTTTGAAACAATTCTTTGTAAGAATTTACATGATTAATTCAGCAGTTAAATAGCAGTGCTAACTGCCACCCCTCAACTGCCACGCCTCAACTGCCACGCCTCAACTGCCACGCCTCAACTGCCACGCCTCAACTGCCACACCTCAACTGCCACTCTCAACTGCCACGCCTCAACTGCCACGCCTCAACTGCCACGCCTCAACTGCCACGCTCCTAAATAATTGTTCTCCATACGTTAACATTAAACGTAACGTTTAAACGTTTTTTTACGTTTATTAAACGTTTACGTTTATTAAACGTTTATTTACGTTTATTAAACTCTGTTTTTAAGGCATTAATAATATATTTTGTGAGTCATAAAATATTTTTCTACGTTAATATATCCTTATTCTAGTCACAAATTTATCAATGCATTATTAATGTACTCTGTAAATACTATTAGTCACTCTGCTCTCCCTGTGAGTTACACGACGTCACTCTAAGTCAATATTTTGACTCAGAAATCGTTTTCCAACGTAATGTTCGTTTCTTTTCATAAAGAAAACGTCTTCCAACGTTTATGTTCATGCCCTTTCAATATGAAGACATCTTCCAACGTTTAAGTTCATACTCTTGCATTATGAAGACGTCTTCCAACGTTTATGTTCCTACCTTTCCATTCGAAAAAAGACGTCTTCAAACGTTCATGTTCATACATTTTCATTCAGACGACGTCTTCCTACGTTTAAGTTCATACCCTTGCATTATGAAGACGTATTCCTGCGTTAATGTTGTCCTTTTTGAGTCATATAACTTTTAATATGCCTATGGTTTTGAACAACCATTGACCTAGTGCCTCAATGAAGCCTTTCTTTGACATGCTGCAGCAGCTACTTTATTTTGCTTCGTACGAACGCAGTGATGAAAGTGAAATGTGAAATGATGAATGTGAAATATGAAATTATGATTGTGAAATGTTGAATGACAAATGTGAAATGATGAATATGAAATATGAAATTATGAATGTGGAATGACGGATGTGAAATGATGAATGTGCAATATGAAATTATAATTGTGAAATGTTGAATGATAAATGTGAAATGATGAATTGAAAATGTGAAATGTTGAATGATAAATGTGAAATGATGAATTGAAAATGTGAAATGGTGAATGATCAGCGTGAAATCTTGAAAGCCAGTACGTACACAGCCAGTGCGTACACAGGCAGTGCGTACACAGCCAGTGCGTACACAGCCAGTGCGTACACAGCCAGTGCGTACACAGCCAATGCGTACACAGCCAGCGCGTACACAGCCAGTGCGTACACAGGCAGTGCGTACACAGCCAATGCGTACACAGCCAGCGCGTACACAGCCAGTGCGTACACAGCCAGTGCGTACACAGCCAATGCGTACACAGCCAGCGNGATCTCACTGCTCCCGCACCTCGGGATCTTACTGCTCCCGCACCTCGGGTTCGTTATCCGCACTCAGTTATTACCGGCGGATCAAAACGTGTCATCAAAGGGAGGAAAAAATCTCGAAGTACCGCCGAGTCGTGCAGATTTTTTTCTTTTCTAATACTGGACATCGGATTCTGAAAATTTCTATTACGAAAATCTTTGCTTGTTGTCCTCTGCTGGAACTTTGAACGCAGTGCCGTGTGATGGAGAAGAGGATTTGGAGAAGAGATTAATTTAATTCTAAAATTGAAATGTACAGAATCGAATTCCATTTATTTCTAAATTTATGACTCTTGTACGAAGTTGATAAATGATTTTAATGAATCATGCATCAGTTTTTGCGAGAAAAGAGAGCCCATAAATAGCTATTTTAGTTCAAAACATGTGAAATAGATGCAGAGAATGCGAAAAAAAATTGAGCAAATAAAATCATATTGGCTGCAGCAAATAATTGAATTACACAAATATATACGAGTTTCGGTCGATAGCCGGACAGGATTGGTTACATTACCAGAAAGGGGTTGGAAATCCGGACGAAATTGCATCCGGTTATGTAATTAGTTTGTACCTAAAACTAATTACGCAATTAGTTTGTACTTAAAAACTGGAAGCAAAAATAAATTAACCACATTACTGGACATTCTAAAAAACAACAACCTCTCTAGGTTAGAGTTTGGGTTTGGTGTGTATAAAATACTTCTTTACTTTGCTAGACACTTTTCTACAGTGGTTAGGTCCAGCCAGGTCAAGTTTTATACCTTTTTTCACCTTAAAAAGTAATTGGGTACAAAATAATCAAAGTCCTCATAAGTGGAAGTATAAATATATTTTACAGTACTATAGACAATATTTCGTAGTCTAGACTATATAGACTTGACTGTATAGACGTATAAACTATATAGACTTGGAAGTGACAGCAGTGCAAATGAATCTATCTAAAGTACCATATAAATATATTGAATCAGAAGAAATTATTGAGGAACACAAGCTTAAACCATTTAAATTTAAGTTTAAATATAAAAATTAAAACCCCAACAAACTGAAAAGAGTCGAAGATGATGTTAGATGATGTCATGTGTGGTTACCAGAAGGCGGAGCTCTGTGATGACTCGCTCTGTAATGGCATCATAAATCTTTTGAATCACTACAGCAAATGTGGCAACGATCGAAGACAATTCCAGTAAATCTCTCCACGAAGTTAATCCAAGTTGGGATGGAGCAAATGGAGCTCCTGGAGCATCAGACTCCATCTGAGGAGCTGGCCGAATGGTAAAAAGTTTCGAGTACCAAGATAGCAGTCATGAGATGGGGGTTCAAAGCCCCAGCGAGCTGTATGAATTCTTACATGGACGACAAACCAAATGTGGGCCAATCAGTGCTGACATCGATGTTATTATTGATATTATTATCATTAATAATATTAACTATTATTATTAGTGTTGTTAATATTACTATTATTATTATTATTATTAATATTAACTATTATTATTGTTAGTGTTAATAATATTTTAATCATTACTGTTATTATCATTATTTTTTATTATCATTACTACTATTATTATTATTATAATTATTACTAAAAATAGAAATCTTTTTTGGAACACCATGCACTCCGCAAAAGATCTCTTCGTTCATAAATTATTGTCATTCATCAGTTATATTCATTTGATAACTGCGTGGGATAAAATAGAATTATATAAATATATGAATGATCCTGCGCGCTGCACGCGCGGTCATAATGGAGGAATATAATTTTTTTCAACCCGAATTACACATTGAAATCAGAAAAGGTGTTCTGTATATCAGAGAGAAAAATTGTTTTATTTCCTTAATTAAATGTTGTAAAAGTTGACAACGAGTAGAAGATGAGTCCAAGGTTAAGCTCAATTTTACCAAGAAATTATTCCGTATACGAATCGTTTTAGTTCGTTTTAGACAATCAATCGTTTTAGTTTTTAGACGACAATCGTTTTAGTTTTTAATTTGAGCGAGCTCATTAACCCGAACAAAGTAAAAATTTAGAGACTCAGCAGCTTCTGATTTGGTTTACCAGAAGTTAGGGCGACCTTAAATTTTCTTAGGGAAATTTTTTGAAGGGACAAGTCATGTGTATGCATTGTGAGGGTGATTGAGTACAATGGGGAATCAGAAAAAATTGTCAACTATATATTAATTAAAAGTAACCACTTGCCATTGCTGATGTTTTGTCTAGGATAAGATGCTAAAAATTTCAATGTTTCAGTCCTGGGAGACGGATGGAGGCGGGACGAAAGTTGTCCGTACCCTCAATCCTGCCTGAAGTGAGCGCGCTAGGAATTATAGTTGCTTGGTTAAAACAAAGTACACCTTACTTAGTATCGTTTATTATTATCATTTCAAGCAGTTACTTAAGTGAAGGGTTAAGATTTAAAAATTTAGGACCCTAAATTAAGTGCAAAATTTTCAAAGTCGATGAGCAGTTGCCATTTTTTGCAGAGAGGTGGCATGTTTTAAAAATTTTTGCAGAGAGACGGATTTTTTGCAGAGGGACGGCATGTTTATTTTTTTCGGTATGTTTCAAAAAAAACGGTACAATTCAATTCAGAAATGCGTTGCGTTCTTCGTTGAGTTTCCAACTGTAAAGAATATTTGTGTAAAATGAAGTAAGAAGAGGAGTATAGAATCTTAAGGCGACGGAACGACAATTTTGTACCATCATGCAGCGATCCAAACCAAGTGTGCTTCCGAATATATAAGACGTTACTTTTGATTTTTTGTTGAAGGAAAACCATCACCGGCTCACAGAGTGGCTATATTATATATTATAAATTACAGCAATATATTATATTATATTGCTGTGCATTATTCCGGTTCTGACTTATTAGCTCATGAATACAAGATGAATGACCGCTTACATTTCTTGCATCAAACTAAATATATATGACCTGCAGGAGGAAATGAGGAAATGGGGAAGGGAAGAATAGAAGAAATGAAGAGTATATGGAAGGAAATGAGGAAGCAGGAAAATGGTAAGTTAATTTTTATTTTCATGGAATTTTCAACTATGACTTTAATAATTAGGTTTTAATCTAATTTAAACTCATTTTCACTCAAAATTTCATATTATGAAAATTGAAACTTATTTGTTGGCAGCAAATTAGTCACGACGACATAGCATGCAAGACTCGACTTGAAGACAAAATAAAAATGTTGATAGAATGTCGTATGTTGTTGCAGTATATTGCATATGTCAAACAAAATATGCAAATAATAAATAAATAAAAACATATTAGGTAATCAACGTCGAAAGCTAGAACATGAATGTAATAATCAAATTAAATCGTTTTCTATTCATCCTTATAAACCTAAATTACAGTCAATGAAAGAAAGCCCTTTCATTCAGCAAAGTATTCCATTAAAGTCGCGTTTGAATTTTGCATTTTTAGTTTGCCTAAAAATAAGTCACAGTAAATGTTATTTTGGGTTTAAGTTCAATTATAAACCCAGCCACATTTTCCGCCGCCTCGTGCTTGGCCTAACAATAAACCATAGCAAATAAAATTTCAGGTTTACGTAATGCAATGGGACAGGCTGGTCCAGTTCAGAGTTGCAAGATTAGAGCAGTGAGTTGCGGGTTCGATTCTAGCTTTTCGTGACAGTTTGGGTCAAATCAGCGAAAAAAAAATCAGCAAAAAAAAGCTTAGAGCAGTGAGTTGCGGGTTCGATTCCAGCTTTTTGTGACAGTTCGGGTCAAATCGGCGAGGTGGTCGGGTGCTTGAAAGCAGTAGCTAGGATCTGAACATTGAGTTTCGGAATCGAATTCCCAGCTAACTGTAAGAATTCTGCCGTGTCTAGAATCGGCGACAGGCCAGACTTGGCGTATGGTTCCCTTAGACTTTCTATTTTGATCCATAATGAAAAAATATATATTTATTTTATTCGCCATAGTATAACATAGGCAAAGTTGTTCTCATGTTTATTAATAAATAAGTAAACAATTTTTATCATACGTCTCACACGTGTAATAAAAATTATTTGAAACTAATTAAGAGATGAAAAATAAACGATTACTTGAATAGCTATCTAACAACATAGCATAATGGTACTTTATTGGCAGGTTCCTATGAACTCGTTTATAGTTTAAAAAACTGTTTGAAGTAATTTTGTTTCAGGTAGATTGTTACCTTCAGTATCTGCCGAAAATTTTTCCTACCTATACAGATTTTCGTATAATATTATTCATATTTTTGCCTTGATCGTAAAAATAGGTACCATGCATTTCAAGGTGAATTTTTCTGTATTGTGACTGCAATATTCATCGTATTTGACTCTTACACACTGTACGCCATGCACAATTGCATATTCACATCGACACGCCAGTGTACGTCTTTTCTCTTATCAGTTATTAAGTGAATACTTAGTAATTGAACTTTTTGTTAACTGCCGAGTGCGATGTGAACTTTAAATTTTTTTTACGCTAATAAAAGATTTTTTGGCTGGGAACTTTAAAATTTTTTATGCTTGCAAAAGATTTTTTTTGCAGCGTGAATAACCAATCTAAAGGTCATTCCGGAAATTAATCCGGAAATTCAAACCGGAAATAATTAATTAAAAAATAATAAAATAATAATTCAAACCGGAAATTAATCAGCACGCACCCAAATTCCCATTCCAGTTCGCTTTAGATTGTGTTGCGGTGCGATATTTTTGAACTTGTTGTATTTTGGGTCTTCAATGTTACATGTTAAAAGTTTTCAAGCTATTAAAGTTCGTAGGCCATCAATATTCGAGAATCCCGAAGCTCAAATATTTTCAAAAATCTCAATCCATCCAATTTCTTGTCAGCGCTTAATTCGTAAATATTGAAGTTTCAGGGCTTATACCGGTAGAAGTTATTGTCGATTTTTCTCGTTGTTTCAATTATAACGTTTTTCCGTGTGTTTCAGTACCTGTTTCGATATATTATGATGAAAATCAAGTACGCAAATGGACATGAATAAGTCCCTCGACATAAAAATTTAAATAGTGCAAAGAATTTCATAATTAAAGAAATACTAATCGTGTGCCGATAAAATCTTCATAGAATGTCAATTATTCATACCTGTTATGAATCGCAATAAAATGATCAAGTAGAAGAAATACGCACAACAGCCATCAAATTAAATCACACGAACATAAATTCTTATACACAAGCAAATGTTCAATAAATCACCAAGGCATTTTGAAAAATTAAATTAATTTCTCGAAAATTTATTACACAGCAACAATATCGCATTATTTACCTTATTTACATGTAGAGACTTCCTGTTCGTTACCATTTGTGGCGCGATCAAAATCTTGTTTATAATCAGCTAATCATTATCTCGCACTGAGCTGCGGAACATTTAATCCTTCAAATTTGGATTATTTTGTCGTAAATGAGTAATTCTGTTGCAGTATACAGCGTGAATACGCGGAAATTTGATCAGAGCTGCAGTAATCAGGGCTGCATGCAGTACGCGGGCATCAAGTTTGTTCGATGCCAGAATAAAAATTACAAATTCCACCTCAGAAGCTACGTTGATAATTTCATAAATTGGTGCGTTAGAGCCATGAACTCAATAACTCGACTTCGACGGCCTTTCTTTTGATTTGGCAAGGCTTCTCCTCTATATATATAAATATCAGGTTTTAATAAATATATATGTTGTAAAATATGTTAATAAAATTTATATGTTAATAAAATATGTTCATGTAAAATATCAGATTTTAAATTTTATATATCTATATAACGCTTGTAATTGAAAGTACTGTATAAGCGCAGCGTCGCTGCTTTAATCTGGGATAAAAATCGTAAAATTCACTTTTTCGGTTTTAAGTCTCACTTCAAAGCTGAGATTCTGACCTATCCAACGGTACCAAAATCGTCTCTGTACGTTGATTTATGCCTTGACGACAGTTCGTGAAAGGGTTAGGGGTGGGGGAGTTCTTTAACATTTAATATGGGCGAAAATTACAGGTCGGGCACATAAATAGACAACCTGAAGACGCTGCTCTTTAGTTACCCGGCTGCTGTCGTGTGGGATGGTGCTCATGCAGTCGTTCCCACCATCCTTGACTGAATTTCGGCTCCAGTAATGTCTAGTCTTGCATCTATGTCACCTTGAATGCCTATTTTGAGGGGCTCGGGACTTTGTCGCGCCCTACTGAACATTCACACTTATTNTGTTAGTCGTGAAGCACTTTGCGCTTCACTGTTGGTGAATTTTTTGTGAAACGTGGTTATATTGTGACATGTAAATTTGTGCGTGATATTTGTAAATAGTTATATTGTGAGATTTAAATTTGTGCTGTAATATTCGTGAATTGTAATTACTTTGTAAAGAATAATTAAGGTTAAGTATTATAGCCGCATCTTGTCTTGTTTATTTATTATTTTTTTATTTGCAGAATCGTATTAGTTCACTACCACGAACAATATATTCATTACGAGCCATCCGCTGGGTTTTTGAGTTCATTCCGAGTTTATTTTGGGTTCAGTTTGAATTTTCACTGTTCCCTTTACCACGTTTTACCGTATCCACTAGTGCCTTCGTTACCAATAAAGTGTCAGAAGTCCTCCAAGTTCACTTCCCTGCACGGTTAAAGTTTGGTTGTCTGACTGGCGCTGACGTAATTAAGAGTGGCAGGTATAGCCGTCGCGCTTACAATGTGACTGTGGAAACGGTGTTTATCCCAGTTATGAAAATTATAGTAATTATGTCGATGCAAAAAGCATTATACGTTGAATCAACGATGCCAAATAGATAACGACACCAAACTCCAAATATATTTGACTTGACAAGACATTTTGGCTTTAATAACTGAGTTTTAAAATTTATAAACTGCATCGTGATGGTCACGATTTTTTCACGCATACATCGGACTGCTTGGCCAAGTTCAAAACAGCCTTCGAGGTTCAAACGGAAATTATGGTGAGCAATATCCTGGGTCGGGGTACCGATAATCACCTTCTGGGCCTTTGAGAAGTCGCCAAGGGCTTAGTCGCCAAGGGTTTAGTCGCTAAGGGCTTTATCGCCAAGGGGGCATTATCGCCAAGGGCTTTATCGCCAAGGGATTTATCGCCAAGGGATTTATCGCCAAGGGCTTTATCGCCAAGGGATTTATCGCCAAGGGCTTTATCGCCAAGGGCTTTATCGCCAAGGGCTTTATCGNAATCGCCAAAGGCTTAATCGCCAAGGGCTTAGTCGCCAAGGGCTTAGTCACCAAGGGCTTAGTCGCCAGGGGCTTAGTCGCCAAGGGCTTAGTCGCCAAGGGCTTAATCGCCAAGGGCTAAATCGCAAAGGGCTTAGTCGCCAAGGGATTGGTCGCCAAGGGCTTAGTCGCCAACGGCTTAATCGCCAAGGGCTTAGTTGCCAAGGGCTTAATCGCCAAGGGCTTAATCGCCAAGGGCTTAATCGCCAAGGGCTAAATCGCAAAGGGCTTAATCGCCATGGGCTTAGTCGCCAAGGGCTTAATCACCAAGTGCTTAGTCGCCAAGAGCTTAATCGCCAAGGACTTACTCGCCAAGGGTTTAGTCGCCAAGGGCTTAGTCGCCAAGGGCTTAGTCGCCAAGGGTTCTGGTTTTGTCGCCAAGGAAATGAGTCTTCCAACTCTTATGATATTCAGTCATTAATTCCTCGTCTCAAGCTGCCAACCATTTCAGGCTCTCCACTAGCCAGGCAAGGCGAATCGATATCGCTGTTGTTTACTTAGGATGAGTTTGTTAATTAGAGCAGATTAATTAAGTCGATTAATATCATACAATTAGAGCAAATTAATATCACACATTGTTATCAAATTTATCTTAATACATGGCTGTACAGGTCTCCTGTGTAGGTTACAGAAACTATACGCTAGAGAATTTTAAATATAACATTATTGTTGATATAACAATATGATTAAAGAAAAATAAATAACATGATTGGGATGATGCCAAAGTTCATCCATGCATGAATATTCATAAATGAAAGTCAGCAACTAGCTTTATTCATATATATAACACCTATATTCATGTATCCCAATATATATATATATCCTATATATACCACCTGTATTCCCTATATTCCTCATACGATGGGATATATATCCCTAATATTTATCCCCTTATATATACATATTACCCCTATATATGTAATCATCATATATCAATTGTTTATAGCCCTCTGATACTATACACAGCAGGGGTCGGGGGTCAGAACAAAAGCAGGGTTGCTGGCTCAGGGGTTTAGAGTTGGAAGGGTTCAAGCCCCGGAGGGGATGTGTCTTTGAGGTGAAGCCCTCCCCCTTTCTTCCCCCCTTCATTTCCCCCACCCCGGTCCCCATCCAACCACTCCTCACCCTTCCCCCAACCCCAAAG